CTGAGTAATATTCCATTGTATATATGTACCACATCTTTCTAATCCAGTCATCTACTTTTGGGCATTTGGGCTGCTTCCATGTTTTTCCAATGTAAATAAATTCCCTGCTGTATTTTTAAAGAATCCAACATTGTTATACATATTGCATTTTTTTCGTCTTGGTGGTTGTTTGAAGCATCCAGAGCTACCTTGATGGATTTTGTGAAGAAATTTGAAAAAAGGTCTGTGGTAAGTTTCACTGTGCACCCACGTATAAGGAAAAAATGTCTGCATTCAGCACTATCTGCCTGAATTGGCTCTGTTTTTGATCCCCTGAATGTGCTTTCCTTGCTCTATGATAATGTCAGCTACAGCTGAGTTGCTAAAGATTTATATGTGGAATAAGCTGGTTTTGGGGAGAAAATCTATGGCTTTGGTTGTTTGGTGTTAAGTTTTTTAAGGGGTGTCTGGATCAGTGCATGTGGAGACTTCTCTAGTGCCTATGAGTGGGGGTGTCCAGAGCCCACAGGAAGACAGCTCATATACAGCACCTCCAAAGACATCTGTTTCTTTCACAGAGATATGTTTCCTATTTCTTCCAATAATGCTTCTGTACTTATGAGATAGGACTTTTTAAAAAAAAGATTTATTTATTTATGTATACAAGAATAGGAGTATAGGCCAGAGGTGTGGGGGGTGGTGAGAGGATTCACCAGAGATACAGTGAGGAAGTAAAACAGGCAGAATAAGTGAAATACACTGCTGAGAGGAAGAGTAGGAGAGGAGAGGACACACAGGAGAGGACCCACAGCATGTGAGTCGCTGCCCTGGCTGGGAACTGAACTCATGCTGCAGTGGCTGCAGATACCTTCATAGTGCTGCACTTTAATCTGTTGCACCACCAGGGAGGGTCAGACATAGGAGCTTTTTCAGTAACAGGGGAGTGACATTTATCTGAGCATAAATTTTGAAGGGTGTTGTAATATAGAGATTTTTTCCTTAAAATTCATATCCCAGATAGCCTATCTCCATAGCTCTCAGATACAATGTGAGTCTGATAACATATTCTAAATATCTGCAAGCCAGACCAATCTTTTCTCTATGTTTCATGGAAATTGAAGGAATCCCTAACCACTGGAAACTAGGCTGGGTGGTATAAAAGCAGAGTGAGTATGTTAATATAAATTTTAGTAGCAGCAAAATGTTTACATATGTAAAGTGTTCACATATTACATATTGAATACTTCCAGCATTCAATTAAGCTTTTCCTGGTTCCCAGCTCCTGTTTTTCTTTCCATAGAACCAGCTTTTTAATTCTAGCTTGCTGGCTCAGCAACATTTTAACCTCTAAAATAATCTTAAATGTAGGGAGAAGGACCTAAAGACGTTTAATACTTAGGAACTTAGCATCAAACTTTCCCTTGACTTATATCTTTATTTTTGTAGTAATTGTCTTGTCTTGTAGACCCATTTCCCTCATTTTTTTTCGTTAATAAAATACTGAATTTATTTCACATGTATATTTTTGTCTCCCCACCACTTCTACTTGTCTGGTCACCACTACTAAAATGTCCTATCCTAACACTTCATACATACTTAAAACCAAATAAAAAGTGGAGGTCCATCTTTAAAAACTATACACACATTTTGACAAAGTCATTCTCAGAACTTGGACAACATTTATCAAACATGGTAAGTAAGTTCTCACTCTGTATTATGTAAACCACAGCCAGATAACAACTGTTATAAAAATGAAATAAAATGGAAATTTTAGCAAACTATTTGAACTATTTTCCTAAAGAAATGGACCCTCCACTGGCGGTCATCTTGAAATGCCTCCTGATCAGTCATTTGGAAACATTGTTTTGACCTAGTTGATGTACTTGGCTTCCACTTTGAAAAAGCACCAGCCACCTTTCCTATACTTGCAGCTTTCCTATACTTGCAGCTTTTGTCTTCTATAAAACTAGGTTCTTTTGGTGTTTTAGAGTTTCCCCCTGCATTTTGGAGGATCATCCCTGCATCTTGACCTTTTGATCAACATCTAGGTTGATGTTTTTGAATCTTTTCCTTTCTGGCTTGACTTTTTTGTGCATTTTGGCTGGAGTCTTCCATTAGAACTAGTTATGGGTGCCTTTTCTTTACCTTCATCATCAAAATCATTGTCATTCCCTACATCAGCAATTTTACTTTTTCTTCAGAAGCTTGATACCACTTCCAGGGGCAAAATGCTTCCAGGTATACTTAGGAATTTCACATCTACCTTATCATCTCTGACTGCATCTTCCTCCACTTAATGCAGCCCACAAATATGCACGGGCCCTGAAACATACTTCAAATGTAAGACAGCAGATGGTGTGATTTCAAAGCCAGTAAGGGAAATTATTAGCTCTCCACATGTTTTCAAAGTTGAAAATGTTACTTTCATAGGATGCCTTCATAATTCTTTGACTTTGCTTCAACAAAGCAGTTCATCCTTTGTACCAGCCCCTAAATAGACTATTCTTAAAGGTAACTGGTGCACATTTTCATCATTGTCTACCTTAAAGTCATAATTTTTGTGGGCCTTTAGTTCACAACTAAAAGAGTAGAGCCTTAGATTCCTCCTGTCCATTAAACCTTAGTGGTCACACTTAGGTGGGAGAGAACACAGACAGAAATAAATGACTACTGTCCTGAAGAACAGTCTGGCAGGAAGGAATAGCACCAGGGAGCATTTATTTCATTTTGTACCCATGAAGATAATTGGAACTTGGCTTGGTTTGTTCTCTAAGGCTGTTTCTTTGTAACTTTTTGATATTGTCAAAGACTAGAAACCTTTAAGCCCCCATCTGGTACCTGTGGTCTTACTAAATCTGGCATATTTTGTTAGTGTCAGCTACTTAGGTGTTGGGTGCCCCCTTTCTCCTGTATTTCCATTCCTGTGTACTGCATACCTGTAATACATTCTTTCACTGAAGTTTGGAATGAAAGGCCTATTCTTTGTTAGTTCACCTACTTTCTGGAAACCCTGTAATGCCTAGGTCTGGATTTCTTGTGTCAGTTAGTTTGTTCTTATCCCAAGCTTGTGTTCTATAGCAAATTGGATGTGCAAGACCAACATATCTTTTCTGTTTAATAGATTTATGGCACATTTTGTATATTGTGTCTATAGAAGATATTTGTAACATTTGTATTTTTTGGCCACTAAACACCTACTGGAATTCCAATAGAATATTTTATGACTAAGCACCAAACCTGAATGTACTTAAGTTTGCAAACTTTACTGTATTTCCTTTTTTCCAAATAGCAATTCTCTAATATTGACCCATTTTTTAATTATGTGGGTGTTTTCAGTAGTCCAAATATTTGCAGATTCAAACTGTTTAGAATTTGACTGCCTCAGAAATGTTAAAGCTAATGATCTTTTAATGCATTCATTCATTCATTCATTCATTCATTCAATAATTCTGACCTTTCTCCCAGCTTAACCCACTGTCAAATGGTTGTAAAGGTTACTAACAGTATATGTTAGACACTGTCAGAAATTAGAGGCTAAAAATGAAAATAACAAAGACCACTCACTATATTATCTATAATCTTAAATTTATTACTCTGTTCTACCTTTAGACTTAAGACAGCTGTCCTACTTGTAGTCAGAATTCCGTTTTTCTAGAATTTCAGTTTTCAGCAGGTATAGATCCTTATGCCTGATACATATGGAAATCTCCACTCATCTGTTGCTTCTTGGTATTCCCTAACATGCAACTACATACGTAGACCTTTAGCATGATACTTGGCACATGATAGGAGCCTGATAAAAACTTCATTGTGAATAAGGCTATAGGCTGATACAATATTTTGGGAGGTAACTTGGTATCTTTCAAACTCTTGTTACCATACTCTTCTTTCTAGCAATTCTACTTCTAGGAAGTTAGATATAGTAGTCTAAGTGTATAAGGGTGTATACATTGCAGTCTCTAACAAAGGACAAAAACAAAAAACCCTAACAACCCTGAAAACAACTTAGTCCATCAATACTAAACTTGTTATATAAACTACCATATTTATGATCAAGAGACTACTATGTAGCCATTAAATACAATGGGAGTCCCTATTAATTGGGAAAATCAGTATCCAAAATATATAATAGAATTGCAGAATTGCATAGTATACTGTTTTTATGTTTAAAAAAATCTGCATATGTACAAAGAAATATTTATATACAATGTACAGTGTGTTACTCTAAGCCCTTGGAAAATATCTGGAAGATCGCATAAGGAACAGAGGAAGAGGGATTGAACTTTACACTTCCTGTGCTGTCCTGCTTGAATTCTGAAGGATACATTCGTGAATTCATCAATTTGTGCGGCTGGCCTCGGGCTAAGGAGGAACCAAAGCCATCAAACCCCTGTTTACGCATCAAGCTTCTCAGGTGGACGGCTTGGCGACGTCATCAGTATGGGCGGCAGGGCATGCGCAGTAGCAAGAAGCCCCGGCGCTGCGTGGGTTATTACGTACGTGCTTCCGGCCCGGGATCGTGTTCTGGCAGCAGGACTGGCGGCTTTGGCGCTCTTGGTGTTGGGTGGGCGGCATTTGGGGGCACACATGAGCCAGTGGCATTGTGGCCGGGGCGGCTGGGGTCACGAACGCGTCTTTTCTGGACGTTCCAAAGCCAAGAAAAAAGGCGGAAACCGCATCCCCGAAAGGTAAATATGCCTTGACCTTTGGGCGTGGCCCGACCTGCTCCTACTTCTGGGGCCTGGGCTTCCACGGTGTAGTCTCTGTTGCCGTCGCCCGCTTGGCTGGTCTGCTAGTTGCTAAGACGCTTTGAGCCTTCGCTGCTCCGCCCCTGGAGCTGAAAGAGGTAGTCTGTAGTTCTGGTTTCTCCCCCATTCCTTTAAAACTTAGTGTTCCTCGTGTAAAGCACAGGACACCTTTTAAGTGGGACCGAACATTAAGTGTTGCGGACACCCCTTAGCAAAATGGAGTCCCCTTGTTTCACAAGATGTATTGTTTAGCAGAGAATATGTCAGTTACAAGATACAGGCTTGAGTGAAAAATCCACCAATACCGCCCAGCTTTTCACCGAAAACACTGTATTTTCAGGAATCACAGCATATATACTGATGCCTCTTAACCAGTCCTGTTTGAAAGATCTTTATCTGTCCGTTCAATTTTGAGATTTTACTCATGTGCAGGAAACCCCTTTTTTACTCCTTGAGACCTTCTTTTCCTCTCTTACTTCATTAAGTCCCCTTCATTTTATGTTCTGAATTTCTTTTGACTATCAGCAACTCTCCAACTACAGTCTAAAAAAGAATTTACCTGATCTTTGCAGTTGGGTCCTAACTAGTGTTCATCTATCTACTTGTTTCCTTCCAATACATTGTTCACACAAGACGTTTTTTTAATAGGCGAGTTGGAACATTGCTCAGAAACATTGTTTTAAGAATGAAAACAAACTTTTTGCCATGTCCTGTAAGACTGCATGATTTAGAGCCTCTCTGTTTCTTCGGCCACACCTTGTGCCACTTTTGCCCTTACTGTGTACTTCAGATAAAATGAATTTTGATTAATTCTGACTCATCCTACAGAAGTCATCTCAAACACTTTGCACTGTAACGCATCATTAAGTGAAGTTCATGTTCTTTTCTATTAGATTTTCTCTTGAAATAATGAGTTTGAAGTTCCCTATTGATTGACTCTATAGCAAACTGACGCTTTACTGAAGTGTAGTAAATCTGTGTAAAAATTTGTAATAAACTGACACTTTACTAAAAAACGTTCTGTGAAGTAAAAGGATTTGAATTACTTCAGTAAACATCTATATTTTGATGGCACTTTTGTGTTTGGGGCAAAGTTTTATCAGCTACATAAGTTCACATATTAGTCTTGTTGAAACCTGTAAATTGTTAATTAGGTGGGCTGAATAACTGAAGCAGTAAAATGCAAGGGGTCAGGTGTAAATGCTGTGGGCTGTGCTTTCTGTTTTAAAGGGCCTTCATTCTATGCTATTTTTAGTCTGCATGAAATTTGAATAACAAAAGTATGTCAATAGGTGGAAAGACTATCTCCCAATTGGACAGCGGATGCCTGGGACTCGTTTCATTGCTTTCAAGGTTCCTTTGAAAAAGGTAAGGAAAGTTCTGAATTTATCATATAGAATACTGATCATCAATTTTGTCACATTCCATTATCCCTTTTTATACCAAATACTTTTAATAATAATTATCTTTATTATCCTAAAATGAAATTCTTAGCCAATGCTTTCATACTTAATTTTTTTTTTAAAGATTTATTTATTCATATAGAAGTGGGGTACAGGCCAGAGATGTGGAGGGTGAGAGGATTCACCAGGGACAGAGTGGGGAGCAGAATAGGCAGATCTACGAAGTACACTGCTGAGGGGAGCAGCGGTTGGGTCAGGAGAGGTCGGGTCAGGAGAGGTCTGCGGAGCCATGTGGTCACCACCCCCCCCCCACCCCAGGCGGGTATGAACTCATGCTGAAGTGGCTTTAGCTTCTTAGTGCAGTGCTTTAACCCGCTGCGCCACCAGGGAGGGCCGTAATACTCTTATATATATATAAAATAAGTAAAATGATTCTAACAAAGTAAAATATATTTCAGTATGACATATATGCTATAGTAGAAATAGCTACATAGAACATGAATGCAGGAACTGCAAAAACAGACTGATTTAGTTGGATTAGATTGACTCAGAGGCAGGAATTTCCACAATAGTAAACAGCTCTTAATAGGTTTCCAGAGAAAATACAGTCTTTTCTTGATTGATAAGATGATTGCTATTCTGGAAAAGTCAGTGTATCTTAAAACTGTGTCAAAAAGCCCTTTGTGTTTATTGTGAAACGGAATTAGATTCTAAGGCTTTTATAACCATGAACAGTTTTTTCACTTGTGTGAATGTTGGCTAGGACATTCAAAAGTCACTCGAGTTGTAAGCTATGTGGAGGACCATTTTGGACTTGGTGAGAGTCCCTGGATGCCAGCAAGAACCCTTCACTCTCATCCTCATAACCAAAAAAATGCCCTGGATCAGTAAAGTCAGGATTTCAGTACAGAAACTCTGAATATTGTGTGTTTATTTGAACTATAAAAGGAAGAGGTGGGGGACTCATTTAACAGTTTTAAATTGGTGATAAGAGAGCCCATGATTCATTAAACTGCCCAGTGTAGCATAAATTAGTACCAGGAAAAAAACCCTTCGAATGTATTAAAATTTTATTTAGGGGTCCTTCCTGGTGGCGCAGCGGGTTAAAGAACAGCAAACCTTAGCCTCTTCAGTGCCAGTTCTATCTCCAACCCTGGAGGTGATCCACTTGGTGTGGCAGACCTCTCTTGACTCGCCTGTGCCCCCCTCAGCAGTGTACTTTGTCAATCTGCCTGTTCTGCTCCTCACTCTGTGTCTGGTAAATCCTTTCACTGCTCCTACACCTCTGGCTTGTACCCCAGTTCTGTATGCATACATAAATAAATATATATTTTTTTAATAACAGTTTATTTTTACATCATTTTGTACATTATTTTCCCCCATCTCAATTGTAATCCCCTCAGGTTTCCCATCACCAAGTCACCCATGTGCCATCACCATAATCCCATGCACTTCCCTCCCCACCCCACCCCCGTTTTTGAT